AAAAATATATATATACTTAAAATAAAAAATATATATATATATATACTTAAAATAAAAAAAAAATATATATATATATATACTCGAGCTCTCGAGTCGGCTCGCGAGATAACAAGCTTAATATTTTGAACTCGAGTTCGAGCTCGATTTCGACTCGAGCCAACTCAAGCTGCTCGCGAGCGGCTCGATTCGTTTGCAGCCCTACACACACAGATACATCTCGTTTGTTTCCTCTAGAATAGCGACTCTGATTTTCTAAATCATGCTGGATATTTTCCAATATTTTTGTTAATAAAAACTTCTCCTTTTATCAAATGCACTTGCCAACAGTTTTTTCTGCATATTAACTCGCTCTTCATCGCCTATATCACTTGGTTTATTCTTATCCTTTACAACATATTCAAATAAATCTCTATAATACAAATAATCTTTCATTCTAATTTTTCAAGTCGAATAATTAATTACATTTAATTTTATTATACAGCCACTATTTGAGTCATCCATTTTAATCAGTATAAATGAGCAACCCAATATGATTGCTCGGATACCACTTTGTGAATCAGGCACACGATATTAGAATTAACCAAAGATAAATTACTCTTTCCTTAAGTGCTAATGAAAATAGATTTAACCAATTTACCAAACAATGACATCAATAACAATAATAAAATGTAAAAAAGAAAAAGTCACAAGACACCAAGAGTTTAATATAAAAAATCCAAATTGAGAAAAACTATGAGACCTAATCTAGTCAAAGAATCTCTATTATAACAATGGGATACACAAGTCTTTTTAGGAAATATAAAATAAGAATGGTAGATTAGTAGAGTTTGATAAAAGGGTCACATCTCTAAATTTTCTTCTCCCTTTCATAACTCACAGTTTTTTGTATGAGTGTTTCGATAAATGGACTCTGCGAAGACACTTCAAAAGCCGGCAACTTTTGAAGTGCTCCGCAGCACTTAACTACTAAACCCCCCAAACCCCCCCAAGCGATGTGGGAACTTAACCCCACAGGGTGCCCCGCTGCTAAGAGATAAAGACCCCCCAGACTCCCCGAGACAGGTTTTTCCCTTTCATAACTCACAGTTTTTTGTATGAGTGTTTCGATAAATGGACTCTGCGAAGACACTTCAAAAGCCGGCAACTTTTGAAGTGCTCCGCAGCACTTAACTACTAAACCCCCCAAACCCCCCCAAGCGATGTGGGAACTTAACCCCACAGGGCTCTAAATTTTCTTCTCAATCATATTTTAATTCACCATCCAATCAAGGTTTTGAAGATTCACGAACTTCTCTCTTCTGGTCTTGTCTCCCCAGTCTCACCCATTATCTCTCTTCGTCACCTCACTCGGTTGGCGGCTGCTCACAATTCTTGTTTCAAGTGAAATCCACGGCTTTAAGCAAGATTTCACAATAATCCAAGTTGTTAGCAAACATGTTTGACTTTAGAAAATTAACACCATAGAACTCGAAGCTACAGCAGACTTCCACGCACCATTCCGGACCTATGACCTATCCGGCCCACTATTTCGTCCGAATTGCTACAAGGCCACCACCGTAGCAACACCTCAACTGGTCACTTAATTCCTGTCGCACATGCTGGGGAAATTTTTTTTTTTCAAAGTTCTTATTAATTTTTTGTAAAACCTCTTGACTGTTCTTGTTGCAATAGACTAACCCTTGTTTGATAGTTCAATTTAATATTTAAATTTAATGGGTTCAAATTTTAACATGTTTATACACGTTTGATAATAAAAAATAGGGCAAATTCCACTTTACCCCCATGTGATTTAGTATTTTTTCACATAACCCCCCTATAGTTTCAAAAACTATACATAACCCCCTTATGATTTGGATTAAAGTGTCAAAGTGACGGAAATGATCATTCATAACGGCGTCACCTAAAATATCAAAAATACCCATATGTAAAGTTGAAATTTATGTATTAACCAAGGAGGGTTATGTGTATATTTTGAAAATCATAAGGGGGTTATATGATAAAGTATTAAATCATAAGGGAGTTATATGGTAAAATATAAAAATCATACGGGGATAATGTGTCATGTATTTATAAGGGTAATTTCGATATTTTTAGAAGTTCCGTTACGAGTGACTATTTCCATTACTTTGACACTTTAATCCAAACCATGAGGGGGTTATGTATAGTTTTTGAAATCATAGGAGGGTTATGTAAAAAAAGGGTAGACCACAGGGGGGTAAAATATAATTTACCCTAAAAAATAAAATATCTGAATTAATTAAGTAGTACTTAATTTCTTAAGTAAAATTTATTTCCAAAAATAAATATTATTTATCACTTAATGTGATATACACTCAAATGTATCAGATTTAGTATTTAACAATTCAGTAATTTAATGTATTCATATTTCAATTTTCAATTTTTACAGTTCGGTTTTATCAAATGCATCCTAAAAGAATTATTGTTCTAAGAATTTGGCGAAAGTGCTTGATTCTTATTTTGATACCACAAGTATAGCCATAGAAACTTCTAAAATCCTTCCCTTGGAATTGCTTCCAAATATGAACTTTTATTCTTCAAGAAAATTAAGGTAATATATTTCAATATCAACTTTATTTCTAAAATTACATAAATAAACTCAAATAGCATAAGTAAGGCAAGACTAAAAAAACTACATTAAATTATACTAGGGGGGGAGTGCTCGCGCATCGCGCGAGTGTTTCGTACCTATAATTAGAGGGATAATTTCAGAAGAAATAGTTAAAGAAGCTGGAGTTTGATATTTTATGTAAAACGTGTTTGCTGTACAAATGTTAAATGGCATATTCAGGGCATGGTGCGGAGGAGCAGCCGGTACCGGTGATGGTATCATAGAAGTAAGCGCTCTTGTCAAAAGGAGTAAGGACTCAATGCCCAAAGTCAACTGCTAGTGGTTCAAGAAATTAATCAGATTCATCCTACATAAAGTAAAAAGCGCCAATACAAAAGTGTGTAAACTATAAAAAGAAGTCAAGGTGAATAAGCTTACCTTTATAATCAATTAGCAAGTGACTACAGTTACCTAAAGGCAAAGAGGAGCTCATCAAGGCTAACAGGAATGGCTAACCCCAACCGTGGTAGAACCTTCCTTTTTCAATTGAGGACTAATTTGCTTAGCCAGCTTAGGAAAGAAAGGCAGGTAGCCGTATTCCCGTTAAAGGGATATTCCCTGATGGCTACTAATTTAGCAAGAAGGTTTACTATGTCACTAAAAGAAAAAGAAAGAGTTTGTTGTAGGAATTTTTGACCTCTCAACAGTAAATTAGTCGCTTAGTTTTCTAAGAAAGCAAATAGCTAGCACATCTCTTCCCCCGTCAAGCAAACCATTCACTTTCTCTAACAAAACGAGCGAGGAAAATGCTTGAAAGCCAAAAACTCTATAAGATCCCAGTCGTTCTCCTGTCCTGCCTTACATCGATGGATTTCTGTCCTGCTACTGGCTATTCCCAAAAGGAAAGAGGAAGTGAATCTCTTATTTCATATAGCAGAAAATACACCATGACCGGATTAATGTAGTAAACTAGAGTACCCTAGAAAGCTGACCTTGTTCCAAATACCTCCAGGGAAGTTTTTTCTTAAAGTTCTCCGAACCTATCATTATAAGCAAACCAGTTAAATTTCAGAGGACACCGATTCTGTGCAAAAATCTTCATCTTGCAGCTAAACTACACAACCAAAGTTTCAAATTTTAGGATTTGACCACACATTGATGCTACAAACCACAAGAACCACCCACATAAACAACAAAATTGAGGAACTAATCTAATCTCAAGCTAAACCACCATGAATAGCTGCGGCTGAATACCATTCTGAGATGTTTAGTATAAAGGCCGCAAAAAATATCCCAATTCCAGAAACCGAAAGGGGAGAAACTGAAGAAGGTGAAAGGGGAAGCATTGAAACAACCATAGCGATGCTCAGCCGTTTATTCATTCAATACCCATGTTTTTGGCTATTTAATTGAGATATAAATGGGAAAATGAATGGGTTGTTTTAGACGTGAGCTCATATGAGTTGGGAAACGATCAGACAAGTTGTTTCAAACAAAAAAATAATCTCAAATGAGTAGTTATAGCAACATGTCTTTGTTTTAATTGCACAACAAAACCACAATTAAATTAAATGTATCTATAATATCATTCCAGTAATTACACCAACATATAAGCATATATGAGTTGTACACGGTGCAAAAATGGTTGAAAAATAATTTTACCTTCCAGAAATACCCAGATGCCTATATAAATCAAAACTTCTAATGTACCAAAATAAGAATATTTCGGTAAACATACCCAAATACATGCTCCACTCAATTGTACCAAAAGTTTTAAGAAAACCAAACAACATCCCACATTCCCAAAAAACCCCTATCACGCGGTTGAAATTCAACCCGATCTTTGACCAAAACTCAATCTTATATAATATAAGGATAAGGATATTGAGGACATCGTCGGAGTACGAAATCTAATGCACCAATCAGCTACTAGATAGTATAATAGTATAATATAGAAGGTCTTTTCAACTGCCCTTTAGAAGCATTGACTGTTGACTATTAAAATCTCTGGTAGGTTTGTAATGTAAAATCAAAATGCCACATTGATTTACTTTTCAAAGTCCTTACTGAATAATTAACTTCTGAAATTTGATAGACGTGTTTAGAAAAAGAGAATAGTGGGTTTTTATTAAACTCTACTGATCTACTTTCGTTTTCATACAGAAAGGTGACAAGAATGGCCTTTATCAGAACCGGGAAACTACCTAACAGGCCAAGACAAAACTTGGGTCCAATTAAGGACAAAGAATCAATTTTCAATGTGTACTTTATCTGTATGACAGAAGAATAGGGAGAAGAAAGAAAGAAAAGGACGACCTCTGGAGTCTTGTATTTAAAGGGATGAACCATCAATATCTCATCATGCAGTTCATTAGATAAACAAAGTGAACCAATTTGATCCAGCTTCAGCTGAGCGTGAGCTAAAGAAATCATGCGTACTGGCGTGACAAGAGAAGCCTTTTTCATGTTTCTTTTTGTGCTATATACACTAGCCCCATCATTTCCACCCGAAGTTTGTGCGTCAGCTTTTGCGGAAGAGGCTGCTGCCCTCTTAAAATGGAAAGCCGGTTTTGCCAACCAGAATGGTCCCCTCGTGATTTCATGGAATATTACGCCTACCAAAGCCAAGAATTCTTCCAGCCCTTGCACTTGGGCGGGTGTCTCATGCAACATTGGTGGAAGCGTCAACAGATTGAACCTCACAAATTCCAAAGTCAGCTCTACACTCTATGACTTCCCATTTTCATCCTTGCCAAATCTTGAATACGTTGATCTGTCCATGAATGAACTTTTTGGCAGCATACCACCCCAGGTTGGTAATCTTTCCAAGCTCATTTATCTCGATTTCTCGGCCAATATGTTGTCAGAAGAAATCCCACCGGAAATTGGCTTGTTAAAAAATCTTCAAGTCCTTCATCTAAACGAAAATCACTTGTCCGGTCCAATTCCCGAGGAATTAAGCCATTTAGTCCATCTTACTGAGCTTGACTTGAATACCAATAACATCAGCGGCACTATTCCATCTTCCTTGGCAAATCTGAGAAACTTGACATACTTGTCTTTGTATGAGAATCAATTTTCAGGCCCCATTCCTCCAGAAATAGGAAACTTATCCAATCTAGTCACTGCTTTTCTGAGCTCTAATCATTTAACAGGTTCAATTCCACATGTTCTAGGTAACCTCAATAAGCTAGAGACATTGTTCCTTTTCCAAAACGATCTGTCCGGTCCCATTCCAGTAGAGTTAGGGCAGTTGAAATCACTCCAGAGTTTGAGCTTGTTTGGAAATAATCTCATTGGGACAATTCCAACATCACTGGGTAATCTGACGAATTTGACTGTCCTCCATCTCTATGATAACCAACTCTCAGGCTCAATTCCCCAAGAGTTGGGCAACCTAGAGCTACTTACAGATTTGGAACTAGACAGGAATGAACTGAATGGTTCTATTCCTAAATCATTTGGTGATCTGAGCAACCTGGAATTTCTGTTTCTCCGTGAAAACCAGTTTTCTGGTTCCATTCCAGTGGAGCTCGGGCAATTGACAAAGTTGGCTGTGATGGAACTGGATACAAATCAATTGTCTGGTCATCTGCCAGAACATCTTTGCCAAAACGGAACACTTCAAAACTTCACAGTAAGCAACAACAGGCTAACTGGTCCAATCCCTGTAAGCTTGAAAAACTGCTCCAGTTTAATCAGAGTTCGATTTGATGGAAACCAACTAACCGGGAACCTGTCAGAGATGTTTGGTATCTATCCAAACTTGAATTTCATGGATCTTAGGAACAATGATTTCTTTGGTGGACTTTCTGGCAACTGGGGTAGATGCCCAAACTTGGCAGCACTTTTGCTTGCAGACAATCACATCACAGGTAGAATCCCTTCGCAGCTGGGAAACGCGTCTCAACTTCAAAGGCTTGATCTTTCTTCCAATAACTTGATTGGGAAAATTCCAGAGCAAGTTATGAATCTGGCTTCTCTGCTAAATCTAACTCTTCAATATAACCACCTTTCTGGCAAAATACCTGAAGAATTAGGTTTGCTAAAAAATCTGCTTTATCTAGACCTGTCAGGAAACTTCTTGAGTGGATCTATCCCAGAAAATTTAGGACGTTGCCAACAATTGTTTTACCTGAACTTGAGCAACAACAATCTAAGTCAAATGATTCCACCTCAGATGGCCAAGTTAACTCACCTTTCTATCTTGGATCTGAGTCATAATTACATCACGGGAAAAATACCATCTGAGTTCAGGAGTTTTCAGAGTCTAGAAATATTGGATCTTTCTCATAACAACCTCTCTGGTTTCCTTCCAAATGCTTTGGCAGAACTACCTGGTTCATTGCATATTAACATATCTTTCAATAACTTAGAGGGGCCAATTCCTTATGGAGGAGCCTTTAAAACTCTCGCCATAAAAGAATTGAGGGGAAACAAAGGATTGTGTGGCAATATTCCTGGTTTACAAGCTTGTGAAAGTCCTCAATTAATTAGAAAGCATGTAAAGAATAAGGGGTTGAATCTTGTACTTGTAATTGTGCTCCCTCTTCTAGGATCACTCTTACTTCTTTCTGCATTCTTTGGAGCTCTTAAAATATGTCGACAAAGAAAAAGGAAGACCACAGAGAATGTCAAGGATGCTGATTTGTTTTCCATATCCACATATGATGGCAAAGCAATGTACAGAGAAATTATAAAAGCAACAGAAGAGTTCAGTGAAATATTCTGCGTAGGTGAAGGAGGTTTTGGAAGTGTCTACAAAGCAATTCTACCACCTTCTAACTTAGTAGCTGTAAAGAGGCTTCACCTGTTGCCCGAGAAGGTGTGCTTCAACAGTTTCTTGAACGAGATAAGGGCATTGACAAACATCAAGCATAGAAACATTGTGAAGCTCCATGGTTACTGCTCAAATTCTAAACACTCCTTTTTGGTCTACGAGTACCTCAAGCGAGGTAGCTTGGCCAAAATTTTCAGCATTGACGAACAAGCTAAGGAACTAGATTGGGAAAAGAGGGTGAACATCATCAAAGGTGTCGCTCAAGCACTATCTTACATGCATCATGATTGTTCACCTTCAATAGTTCATCGAGACATTTCAAGCAACAATGTGTTGCTTGATTCAGAATATGAGGCTCATGTTTCGGACTTTGGCACTGCTAAATTTCTCAGGAGGGACTCATCCAATTGGACCACTCCAGCTGGCACATTGGGATACATTGCACCAGGTAATTAACAGGGTTATAATTTCTCTCTATTTTCGAGTATTATGTGTACAGGTTTCGCTGATAACATGATTTTCCATGCAGAATTTGCCTACACAATGAGAGTCACTGAAAAATGTGATGTTTATAGCTTTGGGGTACTGACATTGGAAATAATCAAGGGGAAGCACCCTGGTGAATTTGTTGCCCATCTAATGTCTTCAACAACTGGAGACATAGAATTGAAAGAGTTGTTGGACCAGAGACTTTCGCATCCCACACAAGAAATTGAAAAGATCCTGGTATTCATCCTCAAGATAGCAGAGGCATGTTTACATGTGAATCCAGAATCTAGGCCAACCATGCATATGATTTGATGTTTATAGCTTTGGGGTACTGACATTGGAAATAATCAAGGGGAAGCACCCTGGTGAATTTGTTGCCCATCTAATGTCTTCAACAACTGGAGACATAGAATTGAAAGAGTTGTTGGACCAGAGACTTTCGCATCCCACACAAGAAATTGAAAAGATCCTGGTATTCATCCTCAAGATAGCAGAGGCATGTTTACATGTGAATCCAGAATCTAGGCCAACCATGCATATGATTTCTAGTTTGTTATCTGTGGGTGCAACATGTGGCCAACAAGTAGGTAGGTATTAGTTAACAAATGGCCCCAGAAAGGATATTTCTTATTTTTCTTTTTTTTTTGGTAACAAATAAATTAAGGTGTAATTTCATTTTGCCTTGAATCTTGCCTCCTTTTCATTCAATATCTCGTGTTTATTATTTTGTCCGTGATAGGACAGTGAGCAAAGCAGATGAGCATTTTACTTACTAAGCCCAGTTGGCTCCTCTACATTTTTGGGTGCCATTCAAGTATTTTTTCCATATCATTCCAGCCATATCAAACATCACGTTTACCTTTGAAAAATCATTCTCTATAATATACGTCTTACATAAGCACTTTTTTTTTTTACCCTAATAACTTCAATTCATCACATGAATTGCCAAACATGAAAGATATACAACATCACGTTTACCTTTCTAAGATCAAATCTCTATAATATAATATTTTGTATCTGAGAACCAAATTGATCCTGCCTAAAACTTACCTAAGTTAAGATTCGAAACATATTATTGCAACATTATTCTAGTCAAACAATTATTCTTTGTCTATTACTCTTGTTCATTTTTGTAAATTTATCCAAAATACTATTGTTAATTAAAGAAAAAAATCGCCCAACACGTAGTAATAAAACTTGACTTGGTCCGACGGTCAAACCGATCAACTTGGTGAATCAGTCATAGGGTCGGGTTGGGTCAATAATTAGATCGGTCAAGTGACAAACCCGTTGACTAGTCAGCGACTATACGGTCCAATCGGTGAACCAGGAAAAGTCCGTCCAAGCACCGTTGATTGAGAGTTATTGTGGAATCTGCAATTGAACCGGTAATCTGATGAACTCATCACCTTTCTGACTCGAAATTCAAGTCAGATTTAATAACTATGCCCCAATGACTTAAATCAGTTATGAACATCAAGATATGAGTGGTTCATGGATTTTGCCTAAATTCACTCGGGCCCAATCAGCACAGAAATAGCCTAAATTGACTCTTGAACGTCAATGTATCAGTCATCTTTAGATTTAGACCCAAATCTGCATAAACCGATAGACCCAAAAAATTTGGACCATTTCTCAATCTGTGCGTGTGATCGTTGCACAGGGGTCATGCTAATCTTTTCTGTATCATTCCAATTTTATAGAATGTGATGTTTAAGGACAGGCAATTATAATTTCATGTACACGACCGATGAGGGAACTAAGCAGCAATTAGAAGGATTTAACGTTGTTTATTGCCATCAAAACTGGCTCAAAACATTCAACATTGAACTATTGAATGGATATGCATTTTGCCTAATTTTCAATCCACAAAAGGAGAACTTGACTTCATATGAATCGTTCTAATTTCCCTGTCCCCTCTCTGTTGCTTAAATTCCACCCTTTTCCGACTAGAAAAAAATTATACAAACTCCATCTAAATCTAATCATCGGATCTGGTCTACTATTAAGCCAAAATATGAGAAGAATTCATCTCAAGACAATAGTATTTCTTTGCTTGGTTATTTTGTAAATAAGAGTCTCCATCTCTTGTAAAAAATTGCATTATATTCATATTGTTTCTACAATAAAAAAAATCCCACAATTTTTTTTAAGAAATACTCACACAATTTAGCTATATATATATATATATATATATATATATATATATATATATATAAAGCTTGTTCAATTTATGAAAAAAATTTGAAATTTTGTCAAGGATGATGTCATTTTTTTTAAGTTATAAAGCACGTAGTTATGATACATAAGAAAATTCAGATAAATTTATACACATAAAATTCAAAAGATGATGAAAATTAAAATACTCTTTTGTCTCATACATAAGGATATGAGTTAAAATTGATATTAATGTAGCATAATCTTTTAAATTCATAATAATTCACCAATTTTTTTTAACCTGATAAATTATGAATTTGGTCATACTATTCACACAGACATTTATATGTGCTATTTCCTTCAACTCATAATTTTGTATCAAATTTTTAATCGTACTTAAAAAAAATTTTGATAAACGTATGTGGAATAATTGATATTATAATCGTTCAGTGTTTTACTAAATATGTCTCTCAATTAAATACAAGGAAATCCAAGTAGAACAGAAAGTATTACTGCCAGTGTGTGAATCAGTTCCAAACATCATTGAACAATAGTCATGATCCATTTTGGTGTCTCCAATTCCATATAGAGATTTTGGAAAATTTCCCCTTCACCATTGCCCTTTTACTCTTGGAAATAACGCCAATAGGGAATATCTTCTCCCATAACATAACAAACACGGACTAATTCAGAAAGGTAACTAACAACACAAGTACTAAGTGTTACATACATTTTCTTGAATTTATAAAGGGACACAAGTACGATTCCTTTTAATGTAAAGTAGTAAAGAAGTAAGCATGACTAATCATCAAGAATAGAACTGGCGACAAAACCCATAACCTAACAACTCACCCCCATTGATTAGTTGGGTCGTACGGTAACCAGTTCACGGGCCCAGATACCCACTGTCGACAAAAAAAAAAAAAAAAAAAAAAACTCACCCTCATTTATTTTAAAGGATAGGTTAGGTTAGTTGAGTTATGGGTTTTGTTGGGTTGAGTAATAACAAACTAAATTATTCATTTGGCGGATTGAGTTTTTTATTAGGGCATCCAATACCCAACTTGTTTAAAAATAGTTCAAAACAATAAATATAAAATTCAATATACATACGCCAAACCACTTGCATTTGGACATGTGTTAATAATTTATTGACCAATTTGTATTCAAAATTCTCATATATATGTTTTCAATTATTTTTTAGTTTTTATTTAAAAGAAAAAAAGAAACTTGAAATAAAATATCATGCTCATTCTTCTTTTACAATAGTGTTTATAGTTGCTCAACTTCTATAATAGTTTATTATGCCTTTTAAGAGTCTGTTATTTTCCTCCCCTTTTTTTCTTTTTTTTTATCGCTAATCTCCAATTGCTACTTGATTCTATTTGTTAATATTTTTGTGTACCTAGAATAGAGTTTTAAATTTGTTCTAATTGCATTCTTTCACTTTTCTCTAACTTGTTTTATTTCATTGTTAATAATTCCTCATCAATATTATAATACAACAAATTATGTCTTTTAATTACATTTTCAAGCATAATATAATCTAGCATTCAATAATTTAAATACATTTTAGAACTTACAATAGAGAAAATATGAATGGTTAAAGTGTTAAATAAGTTGTGACAAAAAAAAGTTTCAATCAATTAGTAGTTTTAAATAGTATAACGTAAACGAATTTTTTTTAGCTAATCTATTTAAATGTTGAATTTATTATCTAAAATTCACAATACAACCAATATGAAATATTATTCTATTTATGATGTGTTTCCGAGAAGGTTAATAACTGAGTGTGCGTTTGTGTGTGTGAAATATATTTGTGTAAGTGAAAATGTGTTTATGTATGTCAAAAAAGTCTTTTTGTGTGTGTAAATAAATGTAAGAAGTTTATATATCAAAATGTATTAATTAAACCTGGCAATTATGCTCAAAACCCAACAACCCACCCAACCCTTGCTTTCATAACACAATTCCTTCTGCATTTTACTGCAAAATACACACTACGCTAAATCCATTTCTGACACCACTAACCCATGCCAAAACCCCCCATCTCTTCCCATATCATACATGTGTATTTTAGTGTGTTTGTATGTGTAAACATAAAGTATTTCAAAAGAACTTAAAAAGTGAGTATGCGTTTGTATCTGTGAGTGTTTTAGTATGTGAAAATATGTCTATCTATGTAAAAAATGTGCTTATGTGTGTGAAATTTTTTTTTTTAATGTGAAAATATATTTGAGAGAGTTTATGTATCAAAATCTATTAATTAATATATTTGGTCATATTTGGGTCATGGGTTTGAGATGACCCAATATGAGCAAACCCAAAATTAACCCAATCTAAAGTTTGATAGATTGGGTGTAACCCATTTAAATGAAAACCTAATAGTAATCCATCCAAAACCCGTCCAACCCGCCCAATTGCCAGGTATAGTATTAATTAATAAGTTGGGCCATGAATTTGACATGATCTAATATGATCCAATCCAAAATCAATCAAATCTAAAGTTGGGCTAATTGAAGATAACTTATTTAAATGAAAATCAAATATAAACCCACCTAAAATAAGCCGAACCCGCCCAATTGCCAGATATAATCAATAATGTAATTTATCCTCCCAGATGGATTGGTCAATTGCTGGTTGTAGTGTACAGCCCAAATTGGCCCCTTTCCGATGATCCGTTGAGTCCAGTTACTCCAGTCCACTCTTATCTAGTTTCTCATTCACTGCTTCATTGGAATTCATGATAGCTCAAGTTGACTGAAATCTTGTACTGTCTAATCCCGTATAACTTAGAAACCAGGGCGAAGAAGACCTTTAATTTCTAGCCATAGATGTACAGATTATATATTTAGAAAGAAACTCCTCAGCCGTCTTGAGGGGTAAAGAAATCATGAATTCTTTGTTAATATTTTCACTTTCATTTTCGTCCTACTTGTGTGCTTGTTATTTTCTCTTCTAAGCTATCTAGTCTACTCTTAAAATTATAGTTTTGCACATTTTTAATTACTCATCATTCTTTCACAAATTTATCCAAATTATACCCTTTTGATGAATATCCACTCTTTCTTTTTCCATTTTCCAAATCTTCCCTATATATAATTGTTGGTTTTTAGAGTATAAACTAAGAAAGAACATCTTAGTTATTGTTACAA